GTAACCCCGGACGGCTTGATATCGCATCTATTTGGTCCGTATGCCGGGAGAAACCACGACATTAATATGTATCGCGAGTCAAAGATAGCAGATACGATTCGTTTAGACTCTCGGTTCCGCGGTTTTCGAGTGTTTGGGGACTGTGCATACGGCAAAGACGACGTCATTATGAGTCCTTTCGAAGGCGCTATTGGAAACCTAACTGCTGAGCAAACACACATTAACGCATGTATGAGCCGGATCCGAGTCTCCGTGGAGTGGTCGTACGCTCAAATAGTGAGCTACTGGAAGACATTAGATGTTAAGTCAAGTCTACGTATCGGAACGCAACCCGTAGGAAAAATGTATCGAGTTGGAGTACTGATGACCAACTGCATTACATGCACACTCGAGGATCACGTTTCGGTTGTTTGCCTGAACTTCCATGTCAAACTGAAGCTTAGCTTGGGCCTGCTCTCTCTCGAGCGCAAGGCGATCATCAAACTGCTTCTGCTTCTGTTCCAGTTCTCGCACTTCCATATCCATTTGCTCCTTGTATCGCTTTTCCTGGCGTTTCACCTCGGCCAAAGATGCGTTCGTCCTCTTTGGAGCTCTCGATCCACGCGATGTTGAGCTATCTGTTGCAGACACGCAGTTTCCTCCGTCACTCACGTCACTGTCGGACAACTCGGCTTCACGATCGGCGTGTCGGCGGTTGCTCTCGGCCACAATGTCTTTAGCGCATTGAGCTAGATCGGCCTCTTTCTTTTTCTTATAAAGTTTTTTTTGCTATCTTCTCGTCTTGGTGAAGCTTCTCAAGTCCGTCGACGTCAGAATAGTGGCTCTGGATGTTGACAGCATGGCGAGATTTCTCAACTCCGTTCGCCCCCTTAGACCCCTGCTCATTCGTTTTGAACCTCGTCTTTAGAAGGTTCAAGCGATCACGTATCTGTTTCACCTTTAATTCAACTTTCAGTGCTGTAGATAGGGATTTTGCGACGTTGTCCCACACGTCATGCCTGGTTCCTCGCTCAGCAGCAAATGGCTTTAAACGGATTAGGTCACGCAACATCTCGCAGTCTTGCTCCGTCGAGAACCGGAACACCATCGTTGTTTCTTGATGACTGATTTGTTTTCAAAGTGACAAGTAATATGTAGCAGCTTGATGTGCTATCTTTAGGTAGTTTCCATCTGGCTCAAACCGAAATAAAGATCAGATGCTAAAGCCACTTCCACATCTGACCGGAACGAACTGAAAACCGATCGAAATTTAGAAACAGAACTTATTTGCTAAAGACTTCTATTAGTGTAATGGGCTCACAACGTGCCCACTACTTCGGCTTACACGTTAGCGCACGTGTACGAGGAAGCGTAGTTTGCTTAAA